GTTGGCATGTGTTCCTTTGTCCTCTGTCTTTTATTTAATATTTTATGTATTTACTTTTAGAGAGATGGGAAGGGAGAGAAAAAGGGAGAGAGAGAAACATCAATGTGTGAGATACATCAATCTGTTGCCTCTCACATGTCCCCAACCAGAGACCTGGCCCGCAACCCAGGCATGTGCCCTGACTAGGAATCCAATCTGAAACCTTTTGGTTCACAGATCAGCACTCAATCCACTGAGCCACACCAGCCAGGGCTAATAGGCTAAGTTTTTAAGTGTAAAAATGTTCATATTTATCCTTAGCAACTAAACACACATGCACAGACACACAGCATATAGATAAGTCTCTTTTTGTTTCCCTACAACCAGATCACAAGATTGTGCATAGAGCAGGATCAAAACACAGACAAATTATGGGACTTCTAGCCAAGTCCCATAGGTAGATACACTTTGCCTCCTTGAACAACCAAAAAAGGACACCAAATTTAAAAACAAAAACAACCAGAACTGACAGAAAACCAAACTGTATGGAAGTCTGACAACCAAGCAGTTAAAGAAGAAACATTCCTCCAGATTGATAGGAGGGACAGAGACAGGCAACCGTGGCAAAGAGGATGCATGACAAGGCAGTGGCTAGAGGAGGAGGGTGAGGTGGCAGCTGGTGGACTGGGCGATCCCACATTTACATGCAGATAAACCTGGAGGAACAAATGGGGACTGAGACAGACTTTGTAATGCAGGGTTCCAGCCAGGGGAAATAAACCCTGAAACCTTTGACTGAAAAAACCTGTGGGTGTTGTGGCAATAGGAAAGACTCCCACAATCCCAGACTCTCGTGAAGAGACCCACAAGGCCCTAGAAAGTATACAAAACCACCCACCCGGGGAATCAGCACCAGAAGGGTCCAATTTGCTTGTGGGTAGTAGCAGAAGTGACTAAAAGCCTGTAGAGATCTTAGCAAGTGGCACTGTTCCCTCTCAGACCCCTCCCCCACAAACAGCACCACAATGCAGTGAAGTAAGCGAGTTGCCCCACCCTGGTGAATAAATAAGGCTCTACCCCTTATAATGTAACAGGCATGCTGAGACAAAAAAGTGGCCCAAATGAAAGAACAGATTAAAGCTTCAGAAGAAAATACAAATAAGCGATGAAGAGATACCCAACCTATTAGATGTACAGTTCAAAACACTGGTAATCAGGATGTTCACAGAATTAGTTAAGTATGATTGCAAAATAGAGGAAAAAGTGAAGATTATGAAAAATGAAATAAAGGAAAATGTACAAGAAACCAACAGTGACAGGGAGGAAACCAGGACTCAGATCAGTGGTTTGGACAAGAATGAAAAATTAAACATTCAACTACAACAGAATGAAGAAACAAGAATTCAAAAGAATGAAGAGAGGCTTAGGAACCTCTGGGACAACTTTAACCATTCCAACATCCAAATCATAGGGGTGCCAGAAGGAGAAGAGGAAAAGGAAGAAATTGAAAACTTATTTGAACAAATAATGAAAGAAAACTACCCCAATCTGGTAAAGAAAATAAGACTTCCAGGATGTCCAGGAAGCTCAGAGAGTCCCAAATAAGTAGGACCCGAGGAAGCACACAACAAGGCACATCATAATTACATTACCCAAGATTAAAGATAAGCAGAGAATCTTAAAAGCAGTAAGAGAAAAGAAGACAGTTACCTACAAAGGAGTGCCCATAAGACTATCAGCTAATTCTCCAAAGAAAACTTACAGGAAAGAAGGGGCTGGAAAGAAGTATTCCAAGTGATGAAAAGCAAGGGCCTACATCCAAGATTACTCTGTCCAGCAAAGCTTTCATTTAGAATGGAAGGGCAGATAAAGTGCTTCATCACCAAGCCCTTATTATATGAAATGTTAAAAGGACTTATCTAAGAAAAAGAATATCAAAACTATGAACACCAAAATGACAACAAACTCACAACTATCAACAACTGAACCTAAAAAAAAAAAAACGAAGCAAACAACTAAAACAGGAAGAGAATCACAGAAATGGCGATCACATGGAGGGTTACCAGTGGGGAGGTGGAGAGGAGAGAATGGGGGAAAAGGTACAGGCAATAAGAAGCATAAATAGTAGGTACAAAATAGACAGGGGAGAGGTTAACAATAGTGTAGGAAAGGGAGGAGCCAAAGAAGTTATATCTACAACCCTTAGAAATGAACTAAGGTGGGGGAATGATGGTGGGAAGAGTGGTACAGGGTGGAGGGGAATAAAGAGGAGAAAAAATAGGACAACTGTAATACCATGATCAATAAAATATATTACAAACATTCACAGAAGCCAAACACAGCCTCTCACAACAATGCCAGCTGGTATACTGATACAGATGGGTTCCTAGAACACTCACCTTGTCAGGGAAGCATGTACTGCAAGAGGGCTTCCAGAGGAAAAATCCAGACTTTTTAGGGTCCCCTGTCATATACATGTGTTGCGTGTGGGTCACCGGCCAGCAGTGACCACGGAACGCTGTGGATGGCTCGACGATAAACACGCGAGAAATAACAACATGCACAGAGACAAACTAGTTTCTGTGGGGAAGTAGGGACAGAATGGCCACCCCCCCTAGTGGGGAGCGCGCCGATCCACCGTCCATACCTGCTTTTATTAGGCTCATTTTGCATAATAACTCAGGTAACGTACAATACTCATTAGGGGAAGTAAGGAATATAGAAAACAAAGAGCTCTGCCAGTCTATTGAGTTGGGGGGTCAAAGAGCTGTAAGGCTGAGGAACAAACTAGCTTCCTCCTAAGACCCTCCTCATTCAACTGAGAGCATTCTTGAACAAAGAAGGTTTCACAGTAATTTACATGTTCTTTCTTAGGCCTGATCACCCCGGGAAATCCGCACTTCCCAGTACCGAGCTGTACTTCCCCGTCATTGTTTGAGGCTTAGGTGGAGCAAGGGAACTAAGGCCACCGAGAGATAAGGAGATTTTCTTCCGGACGCTGAGAACTCAGACTTTGTCAAAGCCGAGGAGTGAGGGTCCATCACCCCCTTTTGCTGCAGCCCCCCAAGTCCTTCTTTTGGGGGGGGGGCCTCCCAAAGTGATCGTGCCTGGCTTGGGTTGTTCCCCCCGTGGGGAATCTTACCCGTCTTTGGCTAACCGACCAAGCTTTTGGGGGGTTCAGTTATGAACAAAGCAGCAGAAACAGCATTCCTGCCAGGAAGATAAGCTTTTGTCTCCTTGCCGGCTCACGGTTCCAAGGGCGTTCCCTTAGCCTTAGCCTAGGCGGGGGTCTCAGTTTCTGATACCAGTCAGGGCGGTTCCCAACATACATGTATGAACAAGATCTGTCCAGAAAAAGACCAACCATTGTTAATATAATGTGAATGGTTTGCACAACATCAATGTAAACTGGCAGCCAAGGACAGTGGACTACAATGAGCATGTATAAACAATGACAACTTCACTGTACTAGTGTGTGGGGACAACTGATGCTTTTAAATGAGCATGTGTACTGTGTGGCTGTCGCCTTTAAAATGACTGAGCGAGTAAAGCAACGAATGTACATAAAATTTGTGTTAAGCTTGAACACTCCTCCATGAAAACTACTTGGATGATTCATTCAGAAGGCCACAGCTATGGGCAGCTAGTGATAGGCAGCTTAATTGCAATATGCCCGCTCATGCATAAAATGTTGTGCAGAGTTTTCTAGTGAAACATCAAATTACCCAGGTGACTCAGTCACATTACATTCCAGATTTAGCGTCCTGCAACTTCTGGCTTTTCCCAAAACTAAAATCACCTTTGGAAGGGAAGAGATTTTAAACTGTTGATGAGATTCAGGAAAATACAACAGGGCAGCTGCTGGTGATTGAGAGAACTATGTGAGGTTCCAAAGCCTACTTTGAAGGAGACTGAGGTGTCATTCTCCTATATACAATGTTTCTTATATCTTGTATCTTCTTCAGTAAATGTGTCTGTTTTTCATGTTACATGGCTGGATAACTTCTGGACAGATACACACACATATATATGTTTCTCTATGGGCGATTACAATATTGGTCTGAATCTTTAAAACACATTAACATCATGTAGCTAGAAACCCAAGTGACTTTTTATGTCTGGCTGTGTCCAGCCAGAAATAGTGTGATGAATGAACTTCCTAACCTTAAACACATTAGCTAGGGTTGCTTAATTATCTGGATAGAGAGTGTCAGGAAAATAATTCTAGGGTACTTTTAAGTAAGACTTTCTTATTAAATTTTTATTTATGGTTAGTGTCATTTGATGGAGAGACTGATGAATGAGAATAGAATGTTAGAACTAGAAGGGACCTTGGAGGTCACCCAGTGTCCAGCTCCTCATTTACAGAGGAGGGGACAGATGCACAGAAATGTTAAATCTTGCAGAAAATCAAATAATTAGGAAGTGAGAGTGCCTAGACTAGAAGCGAATTCTCCTGAGGCCTACGTTGGTCATCTGGGAGGATGGAGAATCGAAATACTTAAAACTAAGTGTCACGTAGTATAATTGAAAGTTTTAAAAAACATCTCTAAAGATAACATACATCAAATAGAAAATAAGATTTAATTATGATTTTGGGCACACATTTGAAGAGATGGTTGGACACTAAGAAGTTCCATAAACATATTTTTTTTGATAGTGTAATTCTTTTAGAATTTCTAGGGTACATAGGTAACCGAATTTAGGTTTCCAAGTTTAAGATAGCTGTTATTGTTCATCAAACTTAAAAAATAAAGTCAGTTAAACAAAATCAATGACGTAGTTTAGATTTCCTACGAGACAAATGTAACCAACGTCACGTGTTCACACTATCACATTGCACAACAACCACACCAAATGCTTTTAAAGTGAAAGTGAAACAGCGGCTAAAGAATGTATATCATGAATTGGGTCGCCAAATTCAAATGAAATTCTTCTAGTATGTAACTTTGAAAATATCCAATTATGTCACTTTTCTTGGGAACTAATTTAAATGAAAATGCTATGTATTTTTCTCAGGTTTTGATTTGGCATTCATTGCTTATCCAGAAGCTCTAGCCCAACTCCCTGGTGGGCCATTTTGGTCCATATTATTTTTCTTCATGCTGTTGACTTTGGGTCTCGACTCTCAATTTGCTTCCATTGGTAAGTAATGCTTCCAGGGTTCACCCATCCCTCTTATATTGCACTCATGTTTCCCCTACTTAAAAACATTCTTTTCTTAACCCTCGTTGCCTCTCCTAGGTTTTACTCTAAGAATAATCTTTCTAAAACTTCTTTTTAGCCCTTGCTGGTGTGGCTAAGTGGATGGAGCGCCCGGCCTGTGAACCAAAAAGGTTGCTGGTTCCATTCCCAGTCAGGGCACATGCCTGGGTTGCGGGCCAGGTCCCCAGTTGGGTTACCACACATTGATGTTCCTCTCCTTCTCTCCCTCCCTTCCCTTCTCTCTGAAATTAAATAAACAAAATCTTTTTAGAATTTTAAAAATTCTTCTTAATAAATTAAAAACTACAAAGTAGTCATGAGCCAGACACCCAAAATGAGCAAACATTAATACTTTACCATATTTGCTTCAGACATTTTTTAGAAAACTAAACTGTTACAGATGAATTTGAAGTATCCCATGCTTCTCTCCCTAATACCACTCACATTTCTCCCTTCCTAGAAATAAACATCACTGTGAATGATGTTATTCAACCCGTGTTTGTATACATGATATAATGTACCCATAAATACTGTGAATGTTCAATGCCCCCCCAAATGTGAAATTTCACTTCATACATACCATTCTGACAGTTGTTTTTTATGTACTATCAACACATATATGTCTATGTGTTCATACATAGACATATAGATGTAGCTAATTCATGATGTGTTGCTGTAACGATGGGGGCATTTGGATCATTTCCGGCTTTGAACACTTGCACACACTGCTACACTGACTATTCTTTACGTGGCTCTATGTACACATAAGAATCTTCCTTAGGGTACACACTTAGAAATTCTGAAATTGTTTTTATTATATCATCCTCTTACATAAGACATTTTATTTATTTTTTCATCCTCACCTGAGGACGTTTCTTCTTTGCTTTGAGAGAGAGAGAAAGGCAGGGGGAGAGAGAGAGACAGAGAGATAGAGATGGATGTGAGAGACATCGACATGAGAGATATCAATGTGATAAACATCGCTTGCCTGGTCGTCTTCTTGTTCATGTGCTGACCGGGGACAGAACCTGAAACCCGGGTATGTGCCCTGACTGGGAATGGAACCTGCTGCTACCTTTCAGTCTATGGGCGAGGCTCCAACCAACTGAGCCACACAGGTTAGGGCACATGAAACATGTTAATAGCTTACTGTTTATAGGATAAAGTCCAGCCTCCTCTAATTCATTTTCCAAGCCCGCAAATATTTCAAACGTGTTTCTTAGTCCTTTCACTCATACATTTTTTCTACTTTTAAGCCAGTGCCCGTTTCGTGAACACGTTAATTTCTTAAACCTGGAAGGCCTTTCTGTCTCCATGTCATTTATTCAAATGTTCACCTTTTTGGAAAGCTGCGCTGGACTTCTTCCTTTCCTATAACTCTCTCAAACTGCTTCAGCCCTCAGGGACCTGTTTCCTTATAGTTGCTACCAATGCAAATCCTTATAAAACAGACTAAGACTGACAAATCCAGCCGCATTCGATTTTTATCAGCACTGGTGAGTGGTGACTGCCAGAGAAAGGACTCTGTGGCTCTCAAAAGCAAGGAGCAGGGCCCAGACCGCATGCTCAACATATATTTGTAATTTCATTAACATAAGTTGAATTCTGTGATTAAACTCATTGGCAAATGAGTTGACATATGACATGCTATTTTTTCCCTTCTGAAGAAACGATCACAACAACAATTCAAGATTTATTTCCCAAAGTGATGAAGAAAATGAGGGTTCCTATAACTTTGGGTTGCTGCTTGGTTTTGTTCCTCCTGGGTCTCGTCTGTGTAACTCAGGTATACTACCGTATTTTTATAGACAAAATATTACTTGGAATATTTACCTATATCTAAATGAGAAATTCTGAATTGACATTCAATTATTATCTAAATGAGAAAAATCAAGGTTTAAGAGGATGTTTAATGACAAGTCCCAGTCTGATTTGGACCAAGGTTTTCTGAGTTTTAGTTCAGGCTGTTTCCCTGGATAGCACAATTTCAATAGTAAGTATAGTTTGCAGAGTGGGGGGAGGCCCAATAAGGAGCACTTTCCTTAACCACAATAAACTTTTAGACTTTAAAAACACACTCTATATCTTGGCCGCTACTACGGAACACACAGACACTGCCTATCATTTTGACGATTAACTATCTGACTCGGCACAGAATAAAAGGAACATCCTTTTTGGGATATTTAAATCCACATCTGTATTCACATGCGAAAGCATTCCTTTTCACATTTTTGGCAGAAATGAAACCAAGGAGCGTATGTTATAATCAAATTAACAAATTTAATTTGAATGTCTAATCAATCATAAAAATAATGACAAGTTATACTTAGAAGTAATTGATTTTTAAAAATTATTTTATTGTTGTTCAATTACAGTTGTCTGTATTTTTCCCCACCCCTCCCCCCATGATTTTTTTTAATAGGCTGGGATTTACTGGGTTAATCTGATTGACCATTTCTGTGCTGGATGGGGCATTTTGATTGCAGCTATACTGGAAATAGTAGGAGTCATCTGGATTTATGGTAAGTTGTGACTATACACTTATCTATACTTTATATGAGAATAATTTAGTTTGATCATTTCCACTCTGTGCACTGTAATGGTAAATTACAATACAACTGGGCAAAATATATGATATATATTTATAAATAAAATGTAAAGGTGTATGCTCTGTTCCTGTAGTATAGGGAAACATTCTGGCAGAAAATTTGGAGCCACAATGATTAATGGAGGGAAAACGAGCAAAGACTGAATGCACTGTTTGTCAATTATTTTGTTAGGAGGGAACAGATTCATTAAAGATATAGAAATGATGATTGGAGCAAAAAGGTGGATATTCTGGCTATGGTGGAGAGCCTGCTGGTTTGCCATTACGCCTGTTCTTTTGATTGTAAGTATTAATATGGTATGGATTTCGTGTCAACAAGATATATTTAAACATTTGTAAGATAAAATGGAATAACTCACATTGGAGACCATAAGGCAAAGTAATATCATAAATTAATGATTTTCAACTTCTGCTTTATTTTTTTTAATTTTTAAAAGATTATTTATTTATTTTTTAGAGAGGAAAGAGAGAGAAGGGGGGGAGAGAGAGAGAGAGAGAGAGAGAGAGAGAGAGGGGACATCAATGTGTGGTTGCTGGGGGGCCATGGCCTGCAACCTAGGCATGTGCCCTGACTGGGAACTGAACCTGCGAGGCCTGGTTCACAGTCCGTGCTCAATCCACCGAGCTACGCCAGCCAGAGCGACTTCTGCTTTATGACTGGTGCCTCTGAGTTGCCTAAATTAAATGCCTCTGCTGTATTAGTTTTGAGGCCATGGGTTTAAACATTTACTTTTTGACAAAGTAAACAGGCTCCTATAGACTTAAATTTCCCATATATTTAAGATTTACCAGTAGGATAAATAAATAGAAACCATTCGTTTGCTCATTCCCTAAAAAATATGCTAGGTACAGACAATGCAAATATGAGCATGGCCTCTGCTTTCATGGAATTCAATCCAAATACACGGATTGCTAAGAATCAACACTCCTATTTCAATGCATATTTTTGTCTGTATAGGAGGTACTTACTACATTCTATTACCAAAAGAAACTCAGCTGTGACGGTGGAGACAATAGCTTATGTCAGTAAATGTAACAGTTGTTGCTCTTTAGGAGCTGAGGGAAAGCACAGTCCGTTGTACTGGAGAGGCATGGCATACAGACACGCTATCTTCAAGTAACAAGAATTCAGGGCAATACATGGCTGCATGCCAACATAACACTGAATGGGATAGACAATTATCCACGACCAAAGACAATGGGGTGGGTGTGACAGTCACAAAGCTTCACAGAGGATGTTTTGGTTCTTATTGCCTCCATGATTCAACGGTTTGCCTAGAAAAGGCCATTAAAGAATTTGATCTAAAATTTGCTTCACATCTGAAGTGCCATGCTTATTTGCTTTCAGAGGAAATTAATTTTTTTAACATTACAAGGTCAGTTTCAAGTTGTGACCAGTTTCAGACTAAATGTGCTGAATTAAAATATTTGGATGCCCTACATTCTCGCTAAATGATTTTGACAGTGCTGGGAAGTATAGTTTGGCCCTTCTGACGAGTCTCTGTAATAAACTAAGACCCTTATCAAATCAGAAGACCTAACTAGACTTTTAGCCAACCAACTTTCACTGATTACACAGGTTTGACAACTGAGTTTATTTTTAAATGCAAGCTATTGACCATGACATGATATACATCATCAGCCGTTTGAGTCAAGTTACATACATTGAGCTTCACTGTCCCTCATTCTTCTCTTGTAGTTATGTAGGATTATGGTAATTGTAAAAAGTATTTAAATGACTGTCGCTAAATTAATGGAATTAAGCTATTTAATTTTGAAATTAAATTTGATTATCCATTTTATAAAGACTCTTGCATCTAAACACATTCTAAACTAAATTTAGAGGAACTACTACTAGGTGATTTTTGGTTTTGATCACTTCATTTTGTTTTACAAATTTCTAAATATCTGATTAGCTTTAGGCTACAACATGTTTTTTTAAGAGATTTTAAAGAAAACTTGGCCTTAACATGTTTCAGCTTTAAGATTCAGATTTGTTTCACCCAAACATACATTGAACTTTTTTTTTTCTCGAGAGGCTGGAAGCAAAGTGTGCTTTGGTAAATATGCGCGTACTACTAGAAAGTGAGTGCGTGAGTGCTTGGATGTGGAGTAGGGATGCTCCATGTGGTGGGAAATATGAGAAACAATTGCTAAGCCAGGAGCAACAGCATGTTCACTAATTTGTACTTTACATTCTCATTGAATTAATTCACATGTGGGCTAGCTTATGGTGTAGAATAAAACCATGCTACTACAAGTTAAAAGTTAATAACAAAATTTCTGGTATTATTTTACTCTCCCTCAGGTATATTTTATGGTATTTTATTGAAATACATGTTAGACAAGTATTAGTATGTTTTATACATGTGTATGTGGGGGTGCTAATTTTGGAAGAATTTATTCAAAGCCAAATACAAATTACATAGTTTGGTTCATTTAGTATTGCCGTCTTCTGGCTAGTTACCTGGTTGTCTTAGTTCCTCAAATGTGTTTTCATCCATTGTCATTGCTTTATTTCTAAGGGATGGAATCAAGTTGCTAATAATTAGCGCAATTGAAATCACTTGTGCAATGAAGTCTGATCTGCAGCATTGTCTTTTCACGTGTTAACTTTCACAGGCAATTTTCATCTGGTCACTGGTGAAATTTGACAGACCTGATTACGCTAAAATTCCATATCCTGACTGGGGAGTTGCTCTAGGCTGGTGTATGATTATTTTTTGCATTATCTGGATTCCAATTATGGCTATTATAAAAATAATTCAAGCTAAAGGAAACATCTTTCAGGTAAGCACGTAAAATCAATATTATTTGTTCACCAGTCCAGGTCAAGTCCCCTCCATCACCCTTTATCCCCCCTTTGCCCTCTCCTACCTTTCCCCACCCCCTTTCCTTCTGGTAATCACCATGCTGTTGACTCTGCGGGCTTTTCCATCCCTTCACCTTCTTCAAGCTGTCCACCTAACCCCCTCCCCTCTGACAGCTGTCAGTCTGTCGTCTCTATCCATCAGTCTGTTTCTATTTTGTTTTTTAGTTTATATACAGATGATGTATTCTAGCAATGCACCTCTGAAACCTATATAATTTTATTAACCAATATCACCCCATTAAATTCAATTTAAAATTAATATTATTTGTACTTCATATAAAGCACTAGGATCAAACCAAAGATTAATCTACCCATATGGTGGTAATGTGAGATTATGACCATGAGATCAAATTCAAATTAATCACTCTTTCCTTTAGACTGCTTTTATACCTGAGACGAACATTCACTACTATGTGCATAACATTGTATTATGCTGTACACAGATTTGCGTGTCTCCCTGTACTAGACTACAAGCTCCTTTAAGAAGAAGTCTTGCCTTGCTTGTTGCTGTAGCCTCAGGCCCTGTTAGAGTGCTTAGCACATGAAAGTTATTATATCTGTACTGGTACTAACTTGTTCTTGAAGATGTTGCAATGCAGATGATCTTTTAGTTTTATCCCTACAATCTTCACTTTTAAAACATGGTCACACACACACAGGCACACACACAACATCCTGGTTTCTTTATAATGCATTTCCTAATAGCATGTTTAGACTGAAAAAGCCTGGTAAATGACCTTGAACACAAACTAGATCCTAAGTCATCCCTCTTCCATGGAGGCCTAGGGGGATGGAGTTGGTTACGACACATCACTAAGACAAAGGGCAATGGCAAGGTAAGCTCAGCAGTCAGATTTTAAATAAACGTAAGCCCGTTCAAGAATGGATGTAGATCAGTTGTTTCACCCTGGAGCTCCCTCTCTTTGGTTCTTGAAAATTCCCAGGTATACACTGGTTTACCTGGGAAAACAGGTAAACCTAACTGTCACCCTAAGGGCAGGGCAAGGAAATTTAACATCCTAGCTCTGGCTGGTGTGGCTCAGTGGATTGAACACTGGCCTGCAAACCAACTGGTCACCAGTTCCATTCTCAGTCAGGGCACATGTCTGGGTTGCTGGCCAGGTCCCCAGCTGGGAGAGTGCAAGAGGCAACAGATCAATGTATCTCTCCTGCTCTCTGTCCCTCCCTTCCCTCTCTAAAAATAAATAAATAAAATCCTTTTTTAAATTTAACATTCTAAAATAAAAATGTAGTTTTATATTTATTTATGTACAGATCGTAGCGCTTAAGTTCTAAGACAGCATTTTTCCCATTTCAGCGCATTGTAAGCTGCTGCAGACCAGCTTCTAACTGGGGCCCATACTTGGAACGACACCGCGGGGAGAGATACAAAGACATGGCAGATCCTAAGGAAGACACCGACCATGAAATACCTACTATCAGTGGCAGTGGGAAACCAGAAACCAGAATAAGTTCTAATTTTTAAGAATATGTGCCTGTGCAATGTGATTGCTTTAGAATAGAGAAAATTTTATTTATTTGTATGTTAACTGAACAAAAATGTATATATTATGTTCATAATAGTAAAACAACTGTTTTTCTCATTTAAGCAGGAATGTAATATAAAAATGTGAATGTACTAATTTTTTATCAATGTGCTTATTGTATTTCCTTTAGATGATCTATCTGGATAGCACACATTATCTGCATTTCACAGTAACATTTCTGTTGCGCGTGGGTCACCGGCCAGCAGTGACCACGGAACACTGTGGATGGCTCGACAATAAACACGCGAGAAATAACAACATGCACAGAGACAAACTAGTTTCTGTGGGGGAAGTAGGGACGAAATGGCCACCCCCCTAGTGGGGAGCGCGCCGATCCACCGTCCATACCTGCTTTTATTAGGCTCATTTTGCATAATAACTCAGGTAACGTACAATACTCATTAGGGGAAGTAAGGAATATAGAAAACAAAGAGCTCTGCCAGTCTATTGAGTTGGGGGTCAAAGAGCTGTAAGGCTGAGGAACAAACTAGCTTCCTCCTAAGACCCTCCTCATTCAACTGAGAGCATTCTTGAACAAAAGAAGGTTTCACAGTAATTTACATGTTCTTTCTTAGGCCTGATCACCCCGGGAAATCCGCACTTCCCAGTACCGAGCTGTACTTCCCCGTCATTGTTTCAGGCTTAGGTGGAGTGCAGGAACTAAGGCCACCGAGAGATAAGGAGATTTTCTTCCGGACGCTGAGAACTCAGACTTTGTCAAAGCCGAGGAGTGAGGGTCCATCACCCCCTTTTGCTGCAGCCCCCCCAAGTCCTTCTTTTGGGGGGCCTCCCAAAAGTGATCGTGCCTGGCTTGGGTTGTTCCCCCGTGGGGAATCTTACCCGTCTTTGGCTAATCGACCAAGCTTTTTGGGGGGTTCAGTTATGAACAAAGCAGCAGAAGCAGCATTCCTGCCAGGAAGATAAGCTTTTGTCTCCTTGCCGGCTCACGGTTCCAAGGGCGTTCCCTTAGCCTTAGCTAGGCGGGGGTTTCAGCTTCTAATACCAGTCAGGGCGGTTCCCAACACATTTCTGTACATATTACCATCCAGTTTTTCTAATGTAGTGAAGGTTGACATCTGAGCGAATTATATAGAAAATAGTTATATTTTCTACCACACAAGTTTTAAAATATTGCGTGCTAATATTTTCTTGCTATATAGACTTTTCTCCATAAACCTGGAGAAAATAAATCAGTCTATTTAAAAGAATGTGTTAAAATTGAAGGCCTCAGTCGATTAGAAATGTTATACATATGTGGAAAAAATGGACTATGTATATAGCACGAGAACTGTAGTTTAATACTTGTGATCGAAATGTCTAAAAACTTCATGTATTTATGGCTCACCTTTCATTGTGAACTTCATAGTTATGTTCTTTATTTTCATATGTTAAAAAGGACAGAAAAATTAGGATGCTGTGGCCAGTAAGTGAGAAATCTAGAAAACGGAAACCGGGGTCTTGGACTACTTCTCCATGTAACGTCTGTCCTAGGTTACATTTGAAAGGAACATCTGACCCATCTAGTTTGTACTGTTTCACAAAATTCAGAATAGTTCATTGGACTCTCTGAAATCTAGGTGTCATTTCAAATAGACTATGGAACAAAATACTAAGGTAGAAATGACTTCAATCAAATTTAAATCTTCTGCCCTGGCTGGCGTAGCTCAGTGGATTGAGCGCAGGCTGCGAACCAAAGTGTCGCAGGTTCGATTCCCAGTCAGGGTACATGCCTGGGTTGCAGGCCGTGACCCCCAGCAACCCCACATTGATGTTTCTCTCTCTCTCTCTTTCTCCCTCCCTTCCCTCTGTAAAAATAAATAAATAAATAAAATCTTAAAAAAAGAAGTAAAACATTATTATAAAAAATTTAAATCTTCTGTTGTAATATATAGTTAATAAATCAAGTGGGATGATTTTGTCTTATTTGAAGATGTTACCAGTTGTGGGTGAGAACTTATTTACATACTTATAGGAGATAAACTTGTTCAACTTGTCAAGAGTGAGAGAAAGCAAATTAGGAAGTCCTATGTCCCCATTTCCCTACAGAAGATAATGAAAACATTGTATCATAATAGTTCTTTACACTGATTACACATTGGTGAAAACTGGTTGGAGCATCACAGCCTAGAACGATGAACATGGCCTAAGTATGTAAGACACTTTCCAATTATTCTTAATGTTTTTAATATGGGCTTAGGAAACATATGGAAGTAAAATTACATGCAATATTTTTCTAGGTGTAGGTGTGCACGCATTTTTCTAAGGAGAGTGTTTATAGTCTTTGTCAGCATATCACAGGGATCTGGGACTGAAAAGTTTAACAACCGCACACACCACTGCTAGCTTTCATTCGTGGCAAGGAAGAAATATGAAGAAGAATGTTAAAGGTTAATTTCTAATATATTTTATATTTCTTTTCCTCTTTTTTAGATTTAAGATTAAGGAGTAAGGGGTGAAGGTATTTCTTTCATTTATACTAATAATTTCTTTTGGGAGGAGCGAGCCTGAATGTAGGTAAATCGGTAGGCCTGTAATTGAACAATCTCAGCGAGGTATGTATACATACATAAGATGAGCTCATTTAAAATATTCTGAGGATATCCCTAGGCAGTGTGGCTCAGCAGATTCAATGTTGGCCTGCAAACCAAATGGTCACAGGTTCGATGCCCAGTCAGAGCAGATGCCTGGGTTGCAGGCCAGGTCCCCAGTAGGGGACGCTCGCGGGGCAACCACACATTGATGTTTCTCTCCCTCTTTTACTCCTTCCCTTCTCCTCTCCAAAAATAAATAAATACAGTCTTTAAAAACATTTTGAGGGTAGATCAAATGCTGTTGGTGGACTTCAACAGATTGTTAATTCCTCTGTTACAGTGGATTTTATAAAATATCATATGAAATAGATGGGTGACTACAGCTAAGAAATACTTTTTTTTCTTAATTTTAATCCATATTACATCACAGACATTCTACCGTTATATTTTGATAGTATTTGGGGTGTGAATTTCTTACTGAAGTAGTAAAATGCATGCAATTTTCTATAGGTGACTCTTGCAATGCAGGAAAGATTTAGATACATTTCTAATGAAATACTATCGAATTGGCAGTGGGAGGGGTGATTAGGAAGAGATTCCCTTTAAGAGCTCACTATGAATGTGTGTAATTCCTCACAAAGGTGTGAGGCACAGACTTTAACAGAGTGCCTTGTATACTTTAGGGCACTCATAGACAGCTCTTCTATATTATTATACGCAGATTCCACAGTGGTAAGAAAGACTGTTCTGCAAATGGAAAGTGTCTTATCGAATCTCATTGACTTTAATACAAACTAGGAGACGTCCAGTACTGTAGTATAAACTGCCAGAGAAAACCATTTCTCACGCTTGAGCAAAATTAAAATCACTATATGTCAACTAGATTTTTTTCACTGTAGCTTATTTTCAAAATTTTTTGAATGATTTTTTTTCTCGGCTGTGTTTTCATTCCTTCCCTGGTAAAATATATATTAGCAACATCTAATCCATTCTTTAACTGTGAGTATGCAAATTAATAATGTCTGGGTTTTGCATCTTACTTGGCCTATCCTCCCCTTCTAAACAATAATTAATTTGGTGTAAACACATATACTAGTCCAGTGAATGCATTCAAAGTGCATTTAATGATTGTGTACACTGTCAGCACATGCTGCCAGCCTGCCCGGTGGGTTTATGGTTCACTAGTGTGCCACTTAAGCGCCTGGTGACTACCAAACGTTCCAGTTCGGCGAGGTTGTATTCCACCACCCTGAGGTTTACCACTACTAGTTTGTCCACAACCTCGGAGCTCGGGGAATTAATTAAGGTGTCCCGAGAGAGGCGGATGACTGTCACACTGTTGTCACCATCGCTGTTAGCTGACTCAGTCACAGAAGATGGTCTCACTAGTAGGAAAGCAGTCGAGTTTGATGATGTTTCACCAGTGTGTCTCTGTAAAGAAAACAAATTACACACCTGTAGTTTACTGAGTTTAGCAATTTACAAATACTACCAAATAAGAACATGCTCAGTCTTGGTTATGAAAATGAACTGACTGCCCTTCCTTAAGAAATGCAGATTAGGCCCTGGCTGGCGTAGCTCAGTGGATTGAGCGCAGGCTGTGAACCAGTGTCACAGGTTCGATTCCCAGTCAGGCTACATGCCTGGGTTGCAGGCCATGACCCCCCAGCAACTGCACATTGATGTTTCCCTCTCTCTCTCTCTCTCTCTCCCGCCCTTCCCTCTCTAAAAATAAATAAATAAAGATCCTTTAAAAAATGCAGATTAAAAATCTGTTGAAAGACTACACTGATTTGGAAATGTGCTCTTCCCATCCAGACTGAGGGGGAAATGTGGGAAGGTGATCTTTTAACGCTAAATGCTGTATTCTTGCCTGACATGTCCTGGGCAGTGCAGTAGGTCTGTATTTGGGCCCTGTCTGACCCTTACCTAAAAGGACTTCATTTGCAAATTTAAATAGCACCAGGAATATCATGTTTTGACCTGAACTGTTTGTGAATGCCCCTAAAGTTATCATCAAGATGGGTGAAAAGGAAAACACAGAGGAGGAGGAGGCAAACAGAAACATAGGGGCAGTAGAAACCAGAGAAGAAAAGTGAGATGGTACAGATTCTTTTTTAACAAAAATCGAAGAAAACATTGAATTCACTGGGGTGACAGTGCTAAGTACAACTGTACAGGTTTCGAGGGTGCCACCCCACAACACACCATCTGCACACTGCACCGCCTGCCCACCGCCTCCAGTCCAGCTTCCCTCCGCCACCGCCCCTCCCCCCTCCACCTCCCCACCTCCCCACCGCCCCTCCACCTCCCCACCTCCCCACCTCCCCACCTCCCCTCCCCCCTCCACCTCCCCACCTCCCCTCCCCCTCCACCTCCCCACCTCCCCCTCCCCTCCACCTCCCCACCTCCCCACCCCCCCTCCACCTCCCCACCTCCCCCTCCCCTCCACCTCCCCACCTCCCCTCCCCCCTCCACCTCCCCACCTCCCCCTCCCCTCCACCTCCCCACCTCCCCTCCCCCCTCCACCTCCCCACCTCCCCTCCCCCCTCCACCTCCCCACCTCCCCTCCCCCCTCCACCTCCCCACCTCCCTCCCCCTCCACCTCCCCACCTCCCCTCCCCCTCCACCTCCCCCACCTCCCCTCCCCCCTCCACCTCCCCCACCTCCCCCCCCTCCACCTCCCCCACCTCCCCTCCTCCCCCGTCAACGGCTCCCTGCAGCGGCCGCAACAGCCAGAGGTGGTGCTGCAGAGCAGACACGTGAAGCTGTGCTTTCCGAGTGGGTGGAAAACTGACCGTATCATTAGTGACTGGGGCCTTTTTACAACACATCACAGCTATCGAATCACCGGCCAAGATGAGAGAAGTGTGGACGCAAAGAATAAACATCGGGGGCTCTTGCAAGAGAAAAAGGGGGAATGAGGTGCCCTCCCTTACCCTAGTTTTACCGTTTTACCATCTTCCTAGTTTCTTAAACGACCTCCCACGCGTATCTTCCCCTAGCTTCATGTCTTTCCAATCTCTCTGATACACTTTACCTGACAGTCACGAGGCCAGAAGACCAGCAGGAAGAGGCACACGAGGCAGCCCAGGAGGAGCAACAGGATGCTCATGGCTGCTCCTCGGCCTCTTCTGTGTCTCGGGCACCCGGGCGGGCAGGGGCCGCTAGCCACCACAGCTCCGGGAGGTCGGGGCCAGCGGCCAGCGTGCTGAGCTTCCGGATTGCCTGGCGCCACTGGGGGGGCCTCAGCGCCCTGCGTTCCACCCTGGAGGGCAGGTGACCTCACAGTGGAGCAGAACGTGCAGCCCCATGCCACAATCCGAGGCTGCAAACTCCCGTCTCCAGGAGACCAGGCGGCAGTGGTTCCAGAGGAGAGCCAGGGCCGGACTGGTGAACCCAGGCTTCCCAGGGAGCCGAAACATGGTGGAAATGCCGACTCAGACTGGTTAAATGCAGCATTCAAAAAATGCTCTTTCGCCCTTTCTTTCTTCCTTTTAAAGATATGTTTGCCTCTGCTGCAACTATTCCATTATTCATTTCAAACACAAGTTCAACACCAACATACAAACACACTGTAAAAAGTAGTTACATAAGACTTTCCCAGAAACCTCTTGATGCTCTGGTTCCCACGTTAGGCCTCACTCCAACCCTATGGCACTGAGATAATTATGCACATCCGTGTCACTGCACAGCGTAAACAGTGATTCAAGGGACCTTTCCCCATGTAATTCCCACAGTATTTTGAACTACAGGTGTCTCCAGTATTGTGTCTCATTTTGGAAATGCAGAAACAGATTGAGGTGTCAAGTAAAGTCCTTTGAAACTAGAAGCAAAACAGGACCTCACATCCACAGGGTTCAATCCAGAGGTAAACCCCCGCCCCCCACCCCCTTCTCCTGCCTTCACTCCCAGCCCAGCGCCCTCTCCTGCACTGCTGACTCGGGAGCACCAAGGGTGTCACACTTTCCACATGGGGAATCCAGCACTACAGTCGGAAGAAAATTGATAAAAACTAACAGATACAAGAAACACTGGACTAGACAAGTTACACATTTCCAAGAAATTTAGATAAATGTACAAGGTGACACTGAAGCAAAAAAAAATTGCCAGGGTAATTTCAAGATGAGCGTCAAACTGCAGCCCCCCTAACTGCTGGGGGGAATAACTCTCATTTCACATAGACATGATGGAGAGGAATGGCATGTGCAAGCTTTTCATATCAAACTTACTTCCCAATTATGAGTTCAAAGTTTAGAGGTTTATTTATTCACTAGGTATGGATTGTACTCCCAAGTAAAGGGTGGGCACTGTGGTGTATTCCTTTTATTGTCAATCTTCAGGTTTGCCCAGCTTTCACTTGTCGTAAGGATGGACTAGCATCTTCCAAGCTTGTTGCATAGTGGACTGGAAACCAGAAGTCTCAAAGATTTTTGCATCCATATTCATAAAGATATTGCTCTGTATTGTTCTTTTCCTTCTTTTTTCTCTTTTGCAGTGCCTTTGGCTGGCTTTGGTATTGGGGTAATGCTGGCTTCAGAGAAGGCATGAGGAAGCCTTCCATCCTCTCCAATTTTTGGAAGACTTTGAGGACTGATGTTAATCGCTCTTTCGATATTTGGTAAAATTCACCGTTGTTGCCATCTTGCCCAGGACTTTCCTTGGTTGGAAGTTTTGATTACTGATTAAATCTCCTTGCTAGTAATAACTATATTCATATTTTCTACTTCATCATGATTCCGTTTTTGTACGTTGGGTGTTTCTAGGAATTTTTTGTTTCATCTAGGTTATCCAATTGTTGGGGCATGAGTGTTCATAGTACTTTCTTATGATCCAGTTTGTTTCTGTAAAATCAACATTAATGTCCACCATTTTTAAAATTTTTGTTATTTGTGTCTTTTCTGTTTTTCTTAGTCCAGCTCTTTATTGTTTTGTTCTCCTCTATTTCCTTTATTTCTGCTCTAATATTTATTATTCCCATCTTTCTGCTAACATTGGGTTTACTTTGTTCTTTTTCTGGCTCTGTGTTTAGAGACTGCGTTTAAGTGGCTGGGGAGCACAGACCTCTGCTCTGTGCCGTCCAGGCGCTGTCCACAGCTGGGCCTCGAGTCTGCACCTGCACATTCCTGCAGCTCCTCAGAGTCTTGTGGACAATGACTGAGGATACAAACCATGCAGGAAACATGTAGCAAAAAGAAAAAAAATACATAATATGAAATGTGTGGTGGTGTACAAAAAAAAATTAGACAGTTCTTTGCTTCTTGGGTTCTAGTTTTCTCTGTAAGAAAACAAGGTTTCGTTGTTTGGTTGGTTCTTTGGTAAAGGTGGATGGTTGCATTTGGACTAGGGACAATGAGCATATAGGAGATAATGAATATAACTTGATGCGTGGGTCACCGGCCAGCAGTGATCATGGAACGCTGTGGATGGCTCGTCGAAAACACGCAAGAAAAAACATGCACAGAGACAGACTAGTTTCTGTGGAGAAGTAGGGACGAATGGCCACCCCCTCTAGTGGGGAGCGCGCCGATTTACCGTCCAAACCTGCTTTTATTGGGCTCGTTTTGCATAATAATTCAGGTAAAGTACAGTACTCATTACGAGGAAGTAAGGAACCACAGAAAACAAGGAAGTCTGAGGGTCTGTTTTGAGTCAGGGTCAAAGAGCTGTAAGACTTTGAGGAACAAACTAACTTCCTCCTTGGACTCCTCTCATTCAACTGAGAGCATTCTAAACAAAGCAGGCTTCACAGTAATTTACATGTTCTTTCTTAGGCCTGATCACCCGGGGAATCCGCACTTCTCAGCACAGAGCTGCACCACCCTGTCATTGTTTCAGGCTTAGGTGGAGCACGGGAACTAAGGCAACCAAGAAATAAGGAGATTTTCTCCCAGACGATGAGCACTCAGGCTATGTCAAAGGTGAGGAGCGAGGGTCCATCACCCCCTTTTGCTGCAGCCCCCAAAGTCCTTCTTTTGGGGGGCCTCCCAAGTGATCGTGCCTGTCTTAGATCCCCCCTTGGGGAATCTTACCCGTCTTTGGCTAACCGACCAAGCCTTGGGGTTCAGTTATGAATGAAGCAGCAGAAGCAGCATTCCTGCCAGGCAGATAAGCTTTTGTCTCCTTGTTGGCTTACGGATCCAAGGGCATTCCCTTAGCCTTAGCCTAGGCAGGGGTTTCAGCTTCTGATACCAGTCAGGGCGGTTCCCAACAATAACTTATGTTTTTGTTTATTAGAAGAATTTTATACTTTTCTCAAAATAATTTCAACATGGCTTAGACATTGTTTTATTTAATATTGATAAAGTTAATTATCTTTTGAAAATAAGATGGGAATAGCATTATTACATAACTTGTACATTTACATATATGTCTGAACACACACACATACAGTTATGTTAAGGTTAGAAATAAAGGTGGCTTATGAATTCTTTACTGGGGATCATCATATGAATGGTGTACCAAAAATGAAATGAGAATTTGAGATTGCTTTCTGCTCAAAGACCAACTTATTCTGTACACAGAGTACAGGCATTTTTTCTTCTTGATATATTTTGTTAACTCTCTGTACTTCTAGCATATATTAAATTACCTTTTAAAGTTTCTTATTTTTGGCCCTGGCTGCTGTGGTTCAGTGGACTGAGTGCTGGTCCATGAACTAAAGGGTCACCGGTTCGATTCCCAGTCAGAGCACATCACTGGGTTGCAGGCCAGTTCCCCAGTAGGGGGCACCTGAGAGGAAACCACACATTGATGTTTCTCTCCCTCTCTTTCTCCCTCCCTTCCTTTCTGTCTAAAAATAAATAAATATAATTTTTTTAAGTTTCCTATTTTTGGAAAAAAGTGAAGTTTCTAACAATCATTGTTGCTTATCACTATGTTTTCAAAGTATTAGTCTTAAATATTTTAAGATCTGTACATATTAGTCATTGGCAAAAATGTGCTCATTCAATTACAGAATGCTATTTCAAAGATCTATGCTGCAACTTTATTTAAAGTAATGGCGTTTTTCTTTTTTAAATATATTTTATTGATTATGCTATTACAGTTGCCCCATATTTTTTCTCCCCTTTATCTCCTTCCTCCCTGCACTCCCCTCCCTCCAGCATCTCCCCCCTTAGTTCATGTGCATGGGTTGTACGTATAAGTTCTTTGGCTTCTCCATTTCCTATACTATTCTTTTTTTTAAGATTTTATTTATTTATTTATTTATTTATTTATTTACTAGAGGGAAGGGAGGGAGAAAGAGACAGAGAGAGAAACATCAATGTGCGGTTGCTGGGGGGCCGTGGCCTACAACCCAGGCATGTGCCCTGACTGGGAATTGAACCTGCGATGCTTTGGTTCACAGCCCGCTCTCAATCCACTGAGCTACACCAGCCAGGGCTCCTATACTATTCTTAACCTCCCCCTGTCTGTTTTGTACCAATTGTCTTTTTCTATATTTCTTTATTACTTCCCTCCCCTCTTAAGAATTTTATTTATTGTGTTAACATACACAACAATCCACTCTGCCTCCTTCCAAAATCCTGGTTTGTGCTCTGAAAGGATGTTTCTTACAAACCTCTTATCTTTGTAGACAACTGTAAATGCAAATAAAAATTTGCATTTTCCTGGTAGTGCCTTTTCTTGTTTATACATGCAGGAAAAGTATAGCCTTGCATAACAAACAAAAGGTAAAAGTGTCTTCTAGGTCTTTCCCTGTTCTAAAGACTGTGCCTTCTGTGTGTCCCCAACAATGTGAAGTCAGCTTAAAGACACTGTGCAGAACGTAGGCTCTCACAGGTCCCTCTGCCTTTATGAATCAGTGTAGTGGGCGCAGAGCTCATCCTTCTCCTTATAAGTACCGAGCGCTAACCGATTGTACCACTGGAGCTCTTAATCCTTCTCCTTATTGGTTAATTACTATGACTATCCGAAAATCATGAGATGTGAAATATTGATTTTTTGAATCTTATGAAATGTGGAGATTATTGTTTCTTAAATGTTATTAATTTTCAAATTATCTCGGAGAAGATATGTCTGATATTATGGACCGTGATGGTACGCATTAGACACTGGCAGGTCATCGGCATTGATAGAGATCCAGTACCCATATGCAATTTCAGGAGTGGG